TTGTCTCGAAGCATAAGCCACCACCTGCTTATCTTGCATCAACACACCACCTAATCCCATTAATGATGTGTCACAATACACAACAAAATACTTAGTTGGATTTGGCAAAATCAAGATCGGAGCACTTGTCAACCTCCTCTTCAGCTCTTGAAATCCTTTCTCACATTCAACATCCCAAACAAACATCTAACTCTTCCTGGTCAACTTAGTCAACGGTAACGCTAATTTGGAAAATCCTTCTATAAACTTCTTGTAATAACCTGTAAGACCCAGAAAACTACGGATCTCAGAAGCACTATTCGGCGCTTCCCACTGAGATATTGCTTCTACCTTCGTAGGATCCACAACAATTCCATTCTTGGAAATTACATGGCCAAGAAAACTTACTTCACTTAACCAGAATTCACACTTGGACAACTTCGCATAAAGCTTCTTCTCTTTCAACAATTCCAACACAACTCTGAGATGTTCTGCATGCTCTTCATCGCTCTTCGAATAAATTAGAATATCATCAATGAACACCACCACAAACTTATCAAGATACAGATGAAATATCATGTTCATATACTCCATGAAAACACCAGGTGCATTAGTAACTCCAAACGGCATAACAGAATACTCGTAATGTCCATACCTTGTTCTAAATGCAGTTTTCTGAATATCTTCCGACTTCACACGAATCTGATGATATCCAGATCTCAGATCAATTTTACTAAATACACAAGCTCCAACTAGTTGATCCATTAAATCATCGATCCTCGACAAAGGATACCGATTCTTGATTGTAACTTTATTTAGCTGTCTGTAATCAACACATAATCTCATTGAACCTTCTTTCTTCTTAACCAACAACACCGGAGCACCCCACGGCGAAACACTCGGACGAATAAACTTCTTCTTAAGTAACTCATCCAACTGTTTCTTTAACTCCGCTAATTCAGATGCCGACATACGGTAAGGCGCCATCGACACCGGACTAGTTCCAGGAATCAAATCTATAGTAAATTCTACCTCCCTCTCAGGTGGCAATTCACTAACGTCTTCCGGAAACACCTCTGGAAATTCATTCACTACTGGAAATCCATCACTCTTTACTTTTCCCTCCGCTTCTATTGCAGAATACAACATAAATACCACATCACCATCTTTCACAGCTAGGTTCATCTGTTTAACCGACATAGTCACATCTTCGACACCAACCTCTTCAGGAAAAATAACCGTCTTCGCAAAACAGTTGATATGAACCTGGTTAAATTCCAACCAGTTTATTCCAAGGATGATATCAAGTTGTTCTAACGGTAGGCACACCAAATCCATACCGAAACCCCTACCAAAGATCACAATAGGACAATTCCTACAAATATACGAAGTAGTCACTGAACCCGACGCAGGAGTATCAATAACCATACTTCCATCCATATTAGAAATTTCCAAATTCAATCTTTTAGCATAATCCAAAGCAATAAAAGAATGCGTAGCTCCAGTATCAATAATCGTAATCAAAGGTATGTCATTAATAAAACATGTACCTTTAATCAGCCGATCATCTAGGTTAGTCTCTGACCCAGACAATGCAAACACTTTACCACCAGCTTGCTCCTTCTTGGGTTTTGTACACTGAGGACGAGTATGACATTCTTCACCACAGTTGTAACAAGTTACCACTCTTACTCTGTAATCATTGGCCACATGGCTGAGTTTCCCACACTTGAAACACTTCTTTGCATCATTCTTGCACTCATTAGCTCTATACCCCATTTCACCACATCTGTAACACTTAATGGAAGAACCAAAGTCTCCCCCACTAGGCTTCCTCCAACCACCAGATTTCTGATTATTTCTATCATAGGGCTTACCACGATCCATCTATTTCTTGCCCTTACGATCAACATATCCCTGAGCATTCGACTTAGTGCTAGCAAGATCCTCCTCTAAAATCCTACTACAGTCAACCAGATCAGGAAATCTTCGGATACGCTGATACCGAATACCCTGCTTAATCTCATCACGAAGACCATTCTCAAACTTGATACATTTGGAAAATTCTCCATCTGCATCGTTAGTATAATGAGCATAATACTTCGCTAACTCAGTAAACTTCGAAGCATACTCACTGACAATCTTGTTACCCTGCTTGAGTTCCAGAAACTCAATCTCCTTCTTGCCTCTGATGTCCTCAGGAAAGTACCTCTTCAGAAAAGCCCTCCTGAACACAGCCCAAGTCAACGCAATACCATCTTCTTCCATTTCAGTTCTGGTAGCAACCCACCAGTCATCAGCTTCCTCTGCTAACATGTGAGTTCCGTATCTCACCTTCAGCCCTTCAGCACAGTCAATTACTCTGAAGATCCTCTCGATCTCCTTCAACCACTTCTGAGCACCTTCGGGATCATGTGCACCCTTGAACAACGGAGGATTATTCCTCTGAAAATTCCCCAATTGTCGGTCAACACCAATCATAACTTCTTGCTGGTTCACTCCGAGTACTCCAGCCAACATTCCCAATGCTTCAGCAAGAGCATCGTCGTTTCTTCCGTTACCTCTTCCGGCCATTGTTCTGTAACATTACAAAACAACCTCATCAGCACACAAGTATCGACAATGTCATCTTACACTAGTCGCATACAAAAGGGATAACGACACAAGACAAGACCGACTATGCTCTGATACCACTATTGTAACACCCCTTCTAAATAACCCGCGAATATATTAATTAAATCAGAGTAACATGGAAAACAGGGATGTCACAATCCAAGATAAATATAAAAACCTCAAATCTACAGTTGTCATGCTTTACTGGAGGAATTATTAAGATAAATATTCAAATCAATATCATGTTCTACACAGCGGAAATGTCTCAAAACCGGAATAACTTCACTTCATAAGTATTCCCAACATAAATTAAACAATATAGTATAAAATAAAACTCATCATTCAAACGTTTCCCCCAGTGTTACAACCTATCAGAGCACGACACTGACACACGGACTTAAAGTAACATAGCTCTAGAGCCATCCTCACCAACTCCTGAGCTGCTAACTTTAATCTGAAATTGTTAAAGTAAGGGTGAGATTTCTCATAATTAACATGCATTATAAGCTTCTCAATCAACAGTATATCACAAGCATATTATTCCACCCATTTTAGCATAAATTCAGATTCAACACGCAGTTCTAATCATACAAGTCATTATGCACAAATCAATAATCAACCAAAAAATTGTAACACTGGAAGACATCCTAACATGTTACAATTCCATGCAAACACAAATGCGGACACAATGCATGTGGTACCAACACGTGACCAAGTCACCCAACACTGATCCATCATCAACCAGATACAGTAACCATCGATTCGTCCATAAACACCCGGACACGAATCCAGCCTAACCACCCATCATCACCCGGGTATCGGTTAACGACAATACAAGTCAAATTCCACACAATGGGAATTAACTTCACCAAAACAATGCATATGCATGCACATCACCAGCATGCAACATCAAATCAACGGAATATGATCACAACATAATTCCAAATAATGCCAAAACCAATATATCACATGATCACATCTCAATCATAATGGATAGCAGGCACAACACATAAGTACCAGTTCTCATTCACCAAATCAGAACAATTTACAAACAATTCTACATCATTCTCAAAATACCAAAGTTTACAAAAATCGGGAATTCGACTCTTTTTAAAATAATTTTCATAAGCAAAGAAAAGTCGGTAGCGACTCTTGCTAACCGCAACATTTGCGATCAAACGCAAAACACCCAAGTCAGTTCTCCAACCGTATCACATATGCCATTAGGCCATAGCAGGGGGGCTGGATTGAGCCTGCTCAACAGAGTACTAAGTGTTAGTCCTGTTCAGAACAATAACAATAACTTTAGCCCTTCCTCAAAGGATATCGTTCTTTTTATCTGTAACCCCAACCATGTGCAATATGACTCCGACCCATTAAGAAGTGTGGCGAATAACTCATTTCTTTAACACATATTCAATATTGTCCAACCACTTTTCAGTTATCTCTCTCGTCAATGAGGTGGGGTTAATAAGTCAAATTAATTAAAAAAAAGACTTAAATATCTGTAATCTATGAAAATCAATACAAGTGGTTAAAAAAAGAGATAAAACAATTCAAAATGTGATTTCAAAAATTAAAATGAAAAACATTGAAAACCTTCCTTTACGATCTTCTAAACCTATTTCTATTTTCACAAAATATTTACGACGTTTTAATCAAATATTTAGACTCTAATAAAAAATAACATTTAATCAAGACGAATCGTTTAGATATTATCCAAGTTGGATTATTAGTAGAAACAAAACTTAATTTAATTATATTTTGTTTGAATGTTTTTTTATCAAATGAATTTGATAATTTTCAATGGAACAGATAGATTGAACAAAAACAAAAATGGAATAGATGAACTGCTCTAAACATTTAAATTGTCTAATAATCCAACCTATTTTCTCGACAGCTAGAATACAACCTGTTAATCATGTGTTATTGTGACGAATGAATGTGATAAATTTATCAACGTGGACAAGTGAATTGTTATGTCCCTTCTAAATTGTAGGGTTTTCATTGATTTTTATAAATATATATTTTAATAAATATTTTCGAGGAGAGCTCCTAATTGTTTTTTTTTTTTTTTTACAGAAACAGAACACAGAAGTCCCTACTGTTATTATTATTATTATTATTATTGAATTATTGAATTTTGTTAAGAGTAATATAATTACTGAATTATTATATTGATTCTGTTAATTACTGAATTATTATATAGTATTGATTATTGAACATTCCAAACTCTCGAAATTTGCTTAACTTTTCTCCTCTTCTCATCATTCAAAAAACTCTTTCATTTCTTGATAAGAACTGATAGTAGTTGAAAACCGCGAATCACACGAAGTGTGTTGAGCTAAGATTCAACTAACGAAATCACTTATCACCATTCCAATCGCCGCCAAAACCCTAATCAAGATATGGCGGCGGCGAACGACGGCGCCCCGCTCGGATCCTCCGTAATCTCACTAGTCAACAAACTTCAAGACATCTTCAGCCGCGTCGGAAGCCAATCCACCATCGACCTCCCTCAGGTTGCCGTTGTCGGCAGCCAGAGTAGCGGCAAGTCTAGCGTCCTCGAAGCTCTCGTCGGCCGTGACTTCCTCCCTCGTGGTAACGAAATCTGTACCAGAAGACCTCTTGTTCTCCAACTCGTTCACATTCAATCCTCCCAACCGGAATCCGCCGAGTTTCTTCATTTACCTGGACGTACCTTTCATGATTTCTCCCAAGTCCGTGCTGAAATTCAGGTTTGTTCATTTCACTTCTCTCAATTTCAATAACATTACTCGTTGAATTGAATTGAATAGAATATGATATTGATGATGATGTGATGTGATATTTTTTTAGGCTGAAACTGATAGGGAAGCTGGAGGGAATAAAGGTGTTTCTGATAAGCAGATTCGTCTTAAGATTTTTTCGCCTAATGTTCTTGATATTACACTTGTGGATCTCCCTGGTATTACCAAGGTTCCGGTCGGTGATCAACCTTCGGATATTGAAGCTCGAATTAGAACCATGATCATGTCCTATATCAAAGTTCCCACCTGTCTCATTCTTGCTGTTACTCCTGCTAATTCAGATATGGCTAATTCTGATGCTCTTCAAATGGCTGGAAATGCTGATCCCGATGGTGCCTTTTTATATTCTTAAATCAATTTAATCTTTTCAAAATCGATGTGTTTGGCTTTTAAATGCTTTTTTTATTTATAATTTTTTTCCTTTCCCCCTTGTTGCAGGTCATAGAACGATAGGTGTCATAACCAAGGTTTAGTATATCTCTCTGATATGAAAATGTAATTGTGAATTTTGTTATGTGGTTTCCTTGTTCTGACGACTTTAGGAACAAAATTGCTTGGACTTGGATTGTAGTTGGACATCATGGACAGAGGTACCGATGCTCGGAATCTGTTAAAGGGAGACATTATTCCCCTCCGACTTGGTTATGTCGGTGTTATAAATCGGAGCCAGGAGGTAATGTGATCTATTCCATCCTGCTGTAATGAATTGCAGACAGCTTCTGGCTTGCTACATTTAGACTTTGCACGTGCTTCTATCTGTTAAGAATGGGTTGTTATTAAATATTGAGTACATGCACATAAGGGCAATATGTCATCACCCCCAACAAGCGTGTAGGTCAACATCTAATACTAAAATCCAGTTGTCTGTTTTCATGTCAAATTAGGATATTATGATGAATCGGAGTATAAAGGATGCTCTTGCTGCTGAAGAGAAGTTTTTCCGCAGTCATCCTGTAAGGAAGTGTTATTGCATACTAGTTTGTAATATTCATTACATGTCACTTATTTATTCTGATTTCTTCTGTGCTATTCAAGATATATAGTGGTTTAGCTGATAGTTGTGGCGTTCCTCAATTGGCAAAGAAGTTGAACAAGGTAGGCTTTGCAATGTTCAACTGTGCAAATTAGTTTTTGTTATTTTTTTTTTTAATTTCTTAAATACCGGCCTTAACTACACCTTCATCTTACTCACACAATTAAAAATTGAATTCCTATGAATTACCCATAAGATCAAACTGTTCTAAATTCTTAGAAGATTCCAATTCCTGGACTTGGGCATTTCAAATTTATAAACATATTTTCCTTTTCATCTCTTGCAGATTCTTGCCCAACATATCAAGGCTGTGCTACCAGGGCTGAAAGCACGAATAAGCACTTCACTAGTCACTCTTGCAAAGGAACATGCAAGCTATGGAGATATCACAGAGTCCAAGGCATGTGTTAATATTTTGATGTGTCTCTACGACATTTGTAAATAATACTGTATGCTGATTCTCCTTCTTGTTATATAAAGCAACACATTTCGTGCTTTGACTGGCCATATACCTTAGTTTATCTATACATGATTCTTCATATCATGCAGGCTGGGCAGGGCGCACTTATCCTGAATATTCTTTCAAAGTATTGTGACGGTACTTAACAATCTAAACCATAAGATTTCTTATCTCCTCTTCAGCTCTTACATTTGCAAAATCATTCCATTTCTGATAATATTTGTGAATTGATTTTCCATATATAACTAATTATTTATCTCCCATAGTCAGTAATTCTATTTTTTTTGGTTGAAAAAAGCTTTCTCCTCCATGGTAGAGGGGAAGAATGAGGCAATGTCTACATCTGAGCTATCAGGTGGAGCACGAATTAATTACATTTTTCAATCCATATTTGTGAGGAGTTTAGAGGTATGAACTTTTTGTTAATATATATATATATATATATATATATATATATATATATATATATATATATATATATATATATATATATATATATATATATATATATATATATATATATATATATATATATATATATATATATATATATATATATATATATATATATATATGATTGTACCTTTGTCAATTTATCCTATTTAATTTAGATGCTCATTAACAAGTTTTCTGCTCATTATTCTTGCATCATTCACATATGTAGAAAAAGGTTTAATAATATATTATTTGAAAATTATGGTAGAATACAATAGTTAATTTGTTTAAATTGAGAAAAACCTAGATCTATTGGGCTTTGCATAACGGGCCCATACAATAAAGATAAAACTCATTAGAAAATAAATCGTTTGTTAACACATAACAGTTTCATCCACTATCCAACTTCTCTTTAATGAAATGTCAATCAATGTTGATGTGTTTTGTTTTGTCATGTTGAATAGGATTATGTGCAATACTAATGACCGATTTGTTGTCACAAAACAGTTTCATAGGATCTTCACAATGTGTCTTTCAAATCTTATAGCTCATTTTTCATCCACAATAGTTCACAACTTTCTTGTGCCATAACTCTAAAATCTGCTTTAGCTCTTGATCGAGCCACTACACTTTGCTTTTTGTTTCTCCAAGAAACAAGATTTTCACCTTTTTTGAACAAAAAAACCTAGTCTACAACTTGCGAATGTCTTGCCCTTGGATCATGCATGAAACGGGAGCAACTCCAATACCAAACAAACAACACTAAAAAGGCTACTATAACTCAGTCGTTGATGCTAAGAAGCTATAGGATTGCGCACAAAAATTGTATATAATACCAGAATGCGTTAATTTCCGCAAAAAAATGAGAGTTGGCCCAAAAAAAAAGGAGTATCTTCAAAATATGATTTTGACCACAGAAACGGAAAAAGGATGACCCGAACTACAATCTGCAAGAAAATTGTGGTTCACGCATCGGGAACATGTGGGGCATCTGGTGGTGTTGCTTTTATTTTTAACATCTTGTTCGGTTTTTTGAGATGAAGGGATTGGCATGGTTGTTGACACAAATATGTGATTTATGATGGTTTTAAATGTACTATGACAAAGGTTGTGACAAAGGTTATGTGAACGCTAACATGACAAAAATTTGTTGTGGACAAAAAAGATACAATAAGAAACTAAATACATTTCACTGAAAAATGTGTACCTAATGCGGAAAAGTATACCGATTTATGCAAAAATTAGACTTCCAAAATGGGAGCTCGTGATAGCATGTAGAAAAAAGGTTTTATAATATATTACTTCAAAGTTATGTTACAGTACGATAGTTCTGTTGAGTCATGAGTCCCATATCAAAAAATATATGGTATGAACATATGTTTATAAGTGGCGGCAATCCTCCCGTTACAAGTCGGTTTTATAAGGATGAGTTAGGTCAGACGCGTATGGATGTTTGTGTTGGGATGGTATAGTTTCTGGTGTAGATAGATCGACAGCCTCCAGTTCTTATGGTAGGGCGCGTGTTAGTACTGGCGATAGTTGATGCTTTTTGGCAGCGGTGGTGGACGTGGATACTTCTCCGGCAGCAGCGGCAGCATTCCGGTGACTGTTCTTGAGAAGTTCATTTGCTTAAACAGAGAAAAGTTTAGACTCTGCTTAACAGACCCATACACTAGAATAAAATTAATTAAAAATAAAATAATTTCTAAAGATAAATTAAAACTACTGGGATCTATTATTTACAATATACAATTTGATTATTGCTAAAGTCGATGATGATGTCAAGTATTATTAAATATTAATCCACTGTTTTCTTTTTTAGTCAGTATTTTTGTTTCAAATTAAATGACCATGATTTTGCAAATGCTGAACTAAATGCTTCATGTCCCTTGTTTTTAATGTTCAAACAAACTATGTTGCATACAAGTTGGTATCAAATTGAACGGCTAAAAGGGAAAAGAAAAATCATAATTTTATATGAGCACACATTTCTTCAGGCAACAATAAAGTCATGAGATCCAATGACTATTGTGTTGCTCTCTTCAGCTAGCTCATAAGTCCTATTATTTAATGTCATTTAATGTATCTTATAGGAAGTGGATCCGTGTGAAGACTTGACTGATGATGATATTCGTACCGCGATACAGAATGCAACTGGACCTAAAGCAGCACTGTTTGTTCCAGATGTAGGTCTTGTTGCCATCACATATAATTTTCCGTACTTATCCTATTGAATCATTGATGGAGCGATTTTTCCCCAACTGCAGAACATACATTGGTATTTAAAAAAAGAACATACTTATCTATTATTTCCCTCTAACTAGGTTCCATTTGAAGTCCTTGTGCGGAGGCAGATATCTCGGCTATTGGATCCAAGTCTTCAATGTGCCAGGTTTATATATGACGAGTTAATGAAGGTAAGGATTTATGGCCTGCCATTTCTTCTGCCTAACTTCAGTTTCAGTTCCACACAAATGTGTGCCAGATTAAACTATCTTCTTCTCAGATCAGCCATCGCTGTATGGTGACTGAACTGCAGCGATTCCCTTTCTTAAGAAAACACATGGATGAAGTTATTGGGAACTTTTTACGAGAAGGCCTTGAACCCTCAGAGACTATGATCACACACATCATAGAAATGGAGGTATGATGAAATTTTACTTACGTGTTACGTAAATATAGACATGCTTCCCCTTCTCCTGCAACTTTCATTTTAGTATTTAGACACTCAAAATTCATACCCTCCAGTTGTTGTAGTTGAGTTGCTTCGTTAGAGCTAATGTCGTTTGCTGCACTACGTATCTATTTATGCTGCTGTTTCCAGACCTCAATTTATCATTCCTATCTGGTTCAAAGTCGTGACACCACTGAAACCCTCATCAAATTTAAGTTTTCCTTGGGATTTCACCCGCAGCTAGCGCTGATTCAATATTGTTTCAGTTTGGTTTGAAGGTTTTACACCTTCTAGCTGGGGCTTCAGCTATGGTTATAGCATAGCACTGGCTTTTCATCCTTTTTGGTTTTGTTTGAAGATGTGATATCTTCTACTTTGGATTTCAGCTGCCGCTAGCGCTGGCTTAGTATTATATCGTTTTGGTTTGTCTACTGTTCATGAAAGTCACTGGTGGTTTCTTCAATTGGTTGTTGTTAGGTGGTCTGTTCTTTGGCACAAACTTTATTGGTTGATTGTTCTGGAGTTCTTCATCGGTTTATCCAATATATCTTTTCTAGGTCGAATCATGTCAGGCGTTATATTTTCTATTTCAAACGAATTATTTGTAACTAGTTTAAAGCTTGGTAAGCTTTAGCTTGAGGACTTAGAACATTAGAAAATATCTTATAATATATATTTTACTATCTTTAGATTATTAGAGTATCTTAGACTATTTTCAAAGTTTGTTTTTATGTTATTATTATTATTATGATTAGTTTCCTAATTTCTCTATTTAGTTAAGATTGAGCCTATGGATTCCTATAAATAAGGATTGGCGTTTATTCTTTTGTACCAAGTTAGTCGCAAGCTATTACTAGTAATATTCAAACTCTTATAATTTTCTCCTCTTTTCATCTAGAATCCCTCTATAACAAAGAATATTGATAATTTTTTGGAGTTCTAGTAGAAACCCGTTAACAAATATTAGCTTGTTAAGGTGATGGTCTGTCTATTAAAGTGAAACTTCTATTCCTTATCCTCAATGTCTCGGTTAAATTACTGCATTTTGCAGATGGATTACATAAACACTTCCCACCCAAATTTTATTGGTGGAAGTAAAGCATTAGAAGCTGCAGTTCAACAGACCAAGTCTTCTACAGTTTCTCTGCCAGTTTCTAAATTGAAGGTACGCATACATTTTGTGGGTCTATACATTGTTTTCCATACTAGCTGTGAAAACTAATTTGTGCTTTCCTATTTTTGGTTTGAAATTCTCCCGTCAATTTCTAATAGGATGCTTTGGATTCTGATAAAGGATTAGCTTCTGAGAGAAGTGGAAAGTCTCGAGCTATTCTTGCAAGACATGCCAATGGAGGAATGGCAGATCATGTAATTTTATCCTGTTTTGTTAACTGGAGGTTTTACTTATGCTGTTTCATGGCAAGATGAGGGATACTATATTATCTTGTTATAATTTGTTGATACTAATGATATGGAAAAAACAGGGTGTGCGTGCTGCATCAGATACTGATAAAGTAGTGCATTCTGGTAAGTTGTTTTTTCATTTTAATATTTGAGTTTTCAGATGCATGTGCTTTGTTATGCATTTAGTTTGGCACCTTTATTTTGTTTTTGTTCGATCAACCGTCTTTGATGTTTTTGGTTGCTTGGTGTTTGTTTCCCTCAGGAGCTGCTGGTGGATCTAGTTGGGGGATCTCATCTATTTTTGGCGGAGGTGATAATCGCGTGTCTGTGAGGGAGAATACAAATAGTAAACCTCATTATGATCCAGTTCAGAGTGGGCATCCATCCTCTACAATTCATTTGAGAGAGGTGTATATACTATGTTAAAGTTGAAATTGAAGCATTCATTTACCGACAATTTGTTTTATGTGTGTGTGCGCACACCTGCATGCATATTTAATGTGCTTTGGGTTTTGTAGCCCCCTTCTGTCTTGAGGCCATCTGAGAGAAGTTCAGAGACACTAGCTGTTGAAATTACAGTAACAAAGTTGCTTTTGAGGTCATATTACGAGATTGTCAGAAAAAATGTTGAGGATCTTATTCCTAAGGCGATTATGCACTTCTTGGTATCTTCCTTTCTTTTAGACTTTACATTTTTTTATAAATATTTCGGTGATAAGTTTATAGTAAGTGTATGATGCTTTCAAAATCGAATGGTATGTTAGGTGGTATACAAAAATCTTATGCGCCAAGTCTATTTTACAATCTGATTAATGACTATTAACCAAATGTTATGCATATTGCGGGCTAATCCACTCGTTGCTTTTGTTCAAGAAGTGCATAGAAGTGATATCAGTAGTTGCAATTTCTCTACTTGATTTGTTATTTATGTACTCTATCTTTAGTAATTTAGATATAGGCTGTTTTGTGGGCTGAGGTGTGTATTCTGTTAATATTGAAATTACTGAGATTCAGATTAAGAAACAGGTAAGATAAAGAGTATCTAAATGATAGAATATAATATCGATAATATGGTGTATGATAGTATTATGAAAGATAACGCCCTAATGCTTATCATTGTTTATATTATTACTTAGATTCCTGATAGGCTGATCCTTGTTAAATAAGTAAAACAAATCAGGAAATATATGAAAGATGGAAACAAACAAGTCTTAAGATATCTCTAAAATATGTTGATATTTCCTGAAAGTTCTAATAGCATTCCTTGCAGTTTAGTATATTCCCTAGGCTACTTGAGTGTTTTTGAATATACCTGAATTTCCATGCATTCTAATAACTAGGTAAATAACACGAAGAGAGAGCTGCACAATGTCTTCATCGCAAATCTATACAGGTAACATGGTTGTAGCCTGGAGATTTATTTTGGAGTTGATATAATTTGTCTGATTTTGGTTGCTAATTTTTCTCTTCATGTCATTTAAAAACCAGAGACGATCTGTTTGAAGAGATGTTGCAAGAGCCTAATGAGATATCCGTTAAAAGAAAGCGCTGTCGAGAACTGCTCCGAGCTTATCAACAAGCTTTTAGGGTGAGATTCTTTTAACACTTCAGTTTGCATTTTCTAACCGAAGTTCTGTGTCATTTTATGACAGTTTGGATCTCCTTTAAAAATTTAAAAAATTGTCTGTGGTTTTCTGAGGAGAGCTCATGATAGTTGCTAATAACGTTGATCTGCTCACCTTAGACCAACACCTATACGTTGATCTGCTCACTTAGACCAACACCTAGGACGGACAATGAACCGAACCAACTCGAAAATAGTTCGAGATTCGATTCGGTAATTAATTCGTTGAACTTGGTTCATGAACCAAATGAGTCGAACTTGAACTCAAAATTAAGTTCGTAAAATAAATGAGTTGAACTTGAGTTATGTATAGTTCGATTCGTTTGGTTCATGAACTGACACGATATATAAGTTTCATGAAGACATCAATGCTTAATTTTCATATTTATTTATATCATTTTAAAGATGATAAAATAATTTACAATTCTATTAATTAAAAAAAATTCAAATTCAACATAGTAAAATATATCTTACAAACTTAAGTTATAACATTTCATTATTTGCTCATATTACCTATTTTTGATGATAATATTTTGAATTACATATATTATTTTGAGATGAAATTTACATTAAATCAAAATTAGAAATATTGTCTATAATTCATGTGAATACAATAAGGATAAATAAGATTGTTCTAACAAGTCGAGTTTGAGCTGAAAAAAAGTTCGTGATGAACTCGAACTCGGCCAATTCTTAACGAGTCTAGTTTGAGCTGAAAAAAAAGTTCGTGATGAACTCGAACTCGAATTCGAACTCGACTAATTCTTAACGAGTCGAACTGAGCTGAGGCGAGTTTGATTCAACTCGACTCATTTCTAGCCCTACCAACACCTATAGAGAGAAAAGAAGTGAGAGGGAAGTTGAAGAGAGATTGGTAATTTCTCTTGATGTGTTAGGAGAGAAGTAGGGAAGAGAGATTAAAAAACAAATGGGGCCCACAAACTTTAAAAACTTTTAATGCGAGTTGGGGGGTGGTTGGTGTATGGGATTGGTGGTCATGAATGGAGGGGCGCCGTTACTCATTTCAAGATGGTTACAAAGCTATTCTGAAAACTAGTAGTTGAGTTGTTACTCATCCAATTGAGAACACCTGGCACCAGTCTAACCCATTAAAAGTTTCTATTTGCTCTCCTATAGGGTGTGATTGGTAGAGTAGAAATTGGAAAGTGAGAGGTTTGAGGGAAGTTGAAGAGAGATTGGAAATTTCTCTTATTGATTAAGAGAGTAGGGAAATGAGAGTAAAAAAAACAATAGACCCCATTAAAATCTATCCACTTCTGGAGAGAAAGTGCGAAGAAATAGACAGACAAAACATTTTTGAAAAAGACAATTATCCTTTAGTTTAAACCAACATACTAGTTTATTGATTATTTTAAAATTGAATCAGTTTATCAGTTCGATATATAAATTATTACTTCTAATTAATTAAATTATATGTAACTAATTTAATTTATTTGTTTTAATACTTATTTTAATTTAATTGATTATTAATTTGATGGATCTCATTTGATGAAATGTGATTTATAACGCATGAGAAGGTCCGTGGTGCTGGCTTGGTGATATCTTCAGATTTTAACTAATTATTTAATTTGTTTTAATACTTATTTTAATTTAATTGATTATTAATTTGATGAATCTGATTTGATGAAATGGGATTTATATCACACGAGAAGGTGCGTGGTGCTGGCCGGGTGATGTCGTACAAAATTTTAACCCAAAGCTTTAACTCAATGATATTTGTGCTAAAAAATAACAGCATTTCTCTCTTATGAGATTCTTTCCAAGCAATCAAGGAGAGAGAGGAAAACACAATTCTTTATATTCTGTTTGTCTCTTCTTTCTCTTTTATCAAACAATGCGTCAAATGTACTAGATTTTTCTATTTCATTCTCTTCACTTTTTCTTACATCTTTTCCCCTTCTCACTTTCTTCTTACAACCAAACATACACATATGCTTAGGCTGCTCATCTATATTTAATGGAATTAATATTTTATTTAGAAGACAATTGTGGTTCTCCTTGATTCAAATTGTTGGCTACTGACAATTAGGCTGTTGACCTCAATGTTTGGGACATGATGACACTTTTCAACATGAGTGTAGTTGACCTGTCACTGTATCAGTTTCTTCTTATGATATGTAAACATATATATTATCCAAGATATATTTATATGATCTTGTATCAGTTTCTTCTCATGTTGATTCCAAAATATGGTTGGTCTCTGATACTGTATTTTATCTTGGTAGGACTTGGACGACCTACCTCTTGAAGCTGAAACAGTTGAATGGGGACACAATTCGCCTGAAACAATTGGCTTGCCTAAAATTCGTGGATTACCAACTTCTTCTATGTATTCTACTGGCAGTTCAGGAGACAGTGTCTAATAAGGTTGTATGTTCTTACAAGACCCGAAAGTATAAGAAGTCTTCACAGTCTGGGGAGCTTAAATAACCGTTACATTCTGGTTCAAATGAAAATTGAGGGCTATACATGTCAGGTTTTGATCCCATGGCTGACAAATGAGTGCTGGTCAATGGTGTTTGTTGGCTAAGGGAATTGACTAACACAAGTATTTAGTTTATACGTTTGTGCTTCTGCAAATTTTGAGAGTCTGGAGTTGGATTGCACTCAATTACTATTTTCCCTTCTGTTCTCATATAGCATTGCCATTATTTTTTCAGGCTCCAGAACGAATAACAGGAGCGGATGATCTTTCACATCCTTCACTATATTCATGTATATTAGTGTTACCATTTTTGTTTTTTTGGTAAGACATATTGTTCACGGGAACTTTCCAGGCTGTCCTAAGATTTATTCTTTTTTCCATTATTGATTTGTTTGTCTCAATGGCAGACTTGAATATCTCAAATTGCTGCACAGAATGATTTTTGGACTTCCCTTATAACTTTACCTCGTCTCTCTCCTTTTCACATTTGCTCTTAATGATCCATTTAACAAGCTCAATAATATCATTAAAAAGTGTTGTTTACAATCAATTTTTAATCAAGTTTCAACATTTTATTTACTATTAGAAAGGTCTCAATTTTGATCAATTAATTAAAATATTAAATGGTATCTGATTCAAGTAAACGGATATATTGTAAACAACATAAAATGTCTAGATTAAGAGTGTAATTTTTTATTTTAAGATTTAAAGTTCTAATCGGCTCAATTCAACTAAAGATTATGAGTATGTACTAAATTAGGGTATGATGTTTTATCAAACTTGTAATTTGGATTACTCTTATACTAATTAATGGACTTTATCAATACTAATTAATGAACCTTATCAACCCCAAGAGATGGCTTGGTGAAGACTTTGGTCCTAAGAATGAATGTGCTATTCTCAAGATTCAGGTTTGAATTCTGTTAGGTGTTATCAACTCTTGTGTTAAGTTAGTCCAAATAAAGATGTAGTCAAGATTGAATATCAAGATTTAAAAAAAAAATTAATGAACTTCGTCTAACATTATACTTACAAATTTAAGTCATTCCAAAGTCTAATTTGTGTGAAATTTTGTATACTTTTCATTTTTAAAAGAATGCCCATATTTTGAGTTGCAGAATTTAAAATCAAAATCAGTAATTGAACTTACAATTTAATTTTCTGTCTTAAGCAAGATCATATCTAAGTTTATTTCGTGTTAAATTTTATTTAATTTCTAGTGGTTTAATTTTGTCTAATTTCTAGTGGTTTAAGTTTCACAAAAGAATCGTATGTTGTCTTCATAATGTAATTTAGGAGTTTGTGTGTTCGATATCAAGATTTTTTGAAATATATTGAGAGTACTATTCTAGACTAAGTGAAGGAGAAAATTGTCTGTGCATGGACCGATCAGGTTAGACACCTAGACAATACAACAACTAACAGAGTCGAATCAGCACATTCGACATTGAAGAAATGATTGAGTGATAGTAAAGGTGATTTCTGTTGAGATTGAGACTGGCTGAACCAAATGTTCTAAAATCAACATTCATAAATGCAAATAACTTTTGGTCGAAGTATAACAGTGCAAGAACATCGATTCAAAGACAACATTCTCTATTCATAATTGGTAGGTGCGTATCTCAGTCGACATTGAATTTTATCTTTCACAAAGCGAAGCAAGCAGAACAGACATGTACAGATAAGGAAAAGTGTGGATACACATTTAGGAAGTCTTATGGTCTTCCATGTGCTTGTCTCATTGCAAAAAAATTAAAGATTAATTCGCCGATACGTATGGAAGAAGTGTACGGTCACTGAAAAAGACTTCAGTTGGATGATAATGGTGCGATTAAGGATGGTAAAACATGTATAAGCATCTAGACCGTTAATTCAAGATAGATTTGCGAAGGCAGATGACAACATGAAATTTCACATCAAAGAGCAGTTGAGGAAGATTGTATTTTCAGAAACCACATATTTGAAACCTCATTTGCAACCGATTAAAACCAAAGGTGCTTCTAAAAAGGTAAAATCGATTTAAGATGACAGTACAATAAAGTGGTGTGATACGGTGGGAGAACTAACTTGAGGGTTTTGCGTTTTATCGCAAATGTTGCGGTTTAGCAAGAGTCGCCACTGACTTTTCTTTTATCCAAAAGGAAAGGTGAAAAAGCACAGGAAAGACCTTTGAGATTGTTTCTTGAGTTCGGGAGTAGATTATGAAAAGAGAAGGTATTAGCACCCTTTTCATCCATGGTTTTTCATGGGCTCTTAGTTACTTGCTAGATTACTTGCTTTTTGTTTTGAAATTGTGTTTTGTGTGGTTTTTGAAAGTATTTTGTAAAAGAGGCCATTGTTTAGGAAATCTTTGTAACGATTCTCGTTCGTAAGAATGTATACAAAGATGTTTGTCTTTTTGAAAATGTTTTCAATGTTTGTAAGATGTTTTAAAATATGTGTGTTTGTTTTGAAAATAGCAAGGATATTCGTTTGAAATGAAGCAAGCAACTAGAAGTAATCTACCTACTCAAATGTCTTTCTTGTTCATTTTCTTTTTCTTTGATATTGTTGTCTTACCATTGATTTGATAAGCAACCCTATCTTTGGATGTAAATGGGACGGGCGCGGGTCATCGTATAACCATGATTAGCAATGTTGCAAATTATCTTAGCATTTTCGAGGGACCAAGATCATTTTGTAAGGCAACTTTGAATAACGTTATCGAGGGACTATGATCTTATACTTGTTTGTTTTGCCAAGATACTTCGCGTGCGTAATATGGCCATTTTTGTATAAGGCAACCAAGTAGAGAAACCCTAAGGATGCTTGTGTGCAAGTGTGTTATTTTCATGCTTGATTTTGTCTTGGATTTAGGATTTTCTATTTGATTTGTTTTGATCTTGCCATTCAAATCCTAATTACTAGCATGGTATATAAAAGCGATAAATTGCGTAATTTTAAAGATTACTACGCTATTACAACATTTTATGGGAGGGGGTATACAAATTATGAATGAGGATTTGCAATAATGTAAACCTAATTTAATCTATTACAACCAAATCGAATTTGTACAAGTATTTGAATAAACAATATACAATATAATTTAAATATGCAATGTTATGTATATGTAAGAAAAAAAAATTGCTTTGTTTTTCATATTCAAAAGAGTTTTGAATTAAACCTAATAATATTAAAAAGAAAATTATTTCTTGAAAAAGTGGTTAACCCTAATTTCTAATTTAAAAAAGAAAATAAAGTTCTTTAAGAATTATTTTTGTGTATTTTTGTATTAAAAATAATAAATAATATTTATGAAAATTTTTAGTCTTTTATATGTCAAAATAAATATTTACAAGTATGAAGAAAAATAAATAAAAATATATCTAAGTCTATTTTATTTTTACAAGTTTATTAAGAAAAATAGTTAGTATATAATAAAATAAAAATATATTTTTTTATGTGAAAATAAAATAAAATAAATCAAAAATACAATATTTATCATATTTTACATTTTTTTAATAATTTTTTATGTTAAAGAAAATATTTAGTAAAATAAAAATGAAAATAAAAAGAAATAAAGAAAATGCATGGGCCAGGGGGTATCCTGAGTAAACAGGATGTAGACATTAGAAAAAAAATGAAGCCCAAAGGAACAAAGCCCAACGCTGCAAAAATGAGAGAAATGGCAAAAAAATGAGAAAATATGCAAAAGGCAGACACCAAGGCTCGAACCCATGACCATGGCATTCTCAGCACGCTGCCTTGCCACTGGGGTGGCTGTACATCCGTTAGTTCATATGAAATAAAAAACACATAACACATAACACCTCCTAGCCCTGTACTTCATCTTCTTCCTCAAGCTAGCCAGAACCTCTGTATCTTTCTCATTTCTCCATGAAAATGGAAACTTTCAACATGAAAATGATAGTACTCTTTCCCACGATTTCAACCATGTAACTCATGTAAACTAACAATCAAAGATCAAAGCGAATTTTAATGGCCCTAATTTCAATCCTAATTTTTACAGAAATTTGAACTCTAAAATTCTCTATACATAATGAACAGAAATGAAATCTATGCACATGGTTGACTTTAGCACAATAATATTTATATTTTTCCTTCACAAATCGAGACCAATGGATGTCTGTATGAAGAGATAGAAGTTATAGTTCTTACCTTCTTCAGCTGAGATTGTGAATGGAGTTTGAGTGAGTTTTATGAAGGCATGAAGATCCCTTTAGCTTGCCTGAACCTTCCTGAGTGTGTTCCAATCCTTGCCTTGCTTTGAAAGTGCCTGAATCTCTCTATCCAAGTCAACCTGCAAGCTTGAAAAATAAAAATGGCAGATGGAGAAGGAGGAGTTACAGTGAAGGGGTGATGGTCTGGAACACTTAGATATGAGGTAGGTTAAGTGTTTGAGTGATTAGAACTTGAAACACACGAGTAAATTTCTGGATTGCTATGCTTGGTCTCAAACTGCAAGTTTTTGACAGGTTTTTAGTGATAGGGAGTTTTAGAGAGTTTCTGGCTTTTAGCAATCGTCCATTAGGTTGCAATTTGTTTGTGTATAAGTATAGAGAAGGTTTCTAATTCACTCCACAACATATTTATGAGTTATGGGCTTTTTACACTCTTACTTGTCCTTTAAGAAAAGTGAAGAGACAACTCTCCACATGCTTGTATAGGCCTGCTTGGAGTTGGTACAAGTCCTAGACCATTTGCTTTTGGTTTATAGGACTTGTGTGTGCAGAGAAAACAGGTCCAATGCTCAAGAGGTGAAAAGTTGCAAAAGTTATGCTTTTCTAAAATGGCAATGGCAACTTTGTGCCATTTATGAAATTAAAGCTTGGACAAAGACTCTTGTGCTTGGATTAAGGCTTTATCATCTGTGTAAGCATTAAATTATGAAGTGAGAAACAAGTTTGAGACCTGTAAAGCAAGGATTAGGCAGCATAG